ATAATGAGACAAAACTCAGAAACAAAATCATGCCGCAATCATACAACAAATATCATCCAGAATAATATTCGGGTCAACATGCTATACAAACTGAACAAATGATACTCGGAGAATAATAAAATACAATGATCAGCCAACGAAAAGGAAATGCTACTAATTATAGCTAAGATCATCGACAACTAGAGGGAATAACTAAACTTTCGGTTTCTTCTATTCGGTCTGCAAGGCACTCTACTGAGAATATCCTGCTCTGACACATCTCGCAAGCTGGAGCTTGTCCTTCTCTAGTTGACGTACACCAGAAAAAACATGTGGTATGTCAGGCGTGCAGTGGACACGATAGAGACGCGCCTCAAAAGAAAAGCACGAAGAAAACCGCAATGCGAAAAAGATACATGACCACAGCAATGAAAAGAAAGTGCAAGTGGAATTCAACAAAATAACGACAGTAACAAATTCGATCATGCTAGCAAGCGATCAGGAATAATGCTCCCAAGTAACACTGGTCCTACAACTAGATGGAATGAATACTTAAAAATCTACAAACTCGAGCCGTAGTCACGTCGAGCCGAATATATCAACAAGAACCCTCATGTATTATACATATGTTTAAATTGTAGATATTAAATATTAACCGATCTAATGTTGAAAAAAAATATAACTACCTAATCTTATAAGAATCCCATACTTCCTTAGTAATGAAGGTCATGTAACTATCATTGCTATAACAGGCTGCTGGTCCCATATCTCCACCAGGAGTCAACGCTCATATCATCGAATACTTGAATGTTACAAATCGCCTAGTGGCATCATACCGCTACAGAAACTCGGTCAGAGGACTACCGCAATCCGTTTTCAGCCTGGTCGGACTCAAGCTAAACTCGGGTGAATATCAACTTCATGGACGCAAAGTACTACAGAGCAAACGCTTACTTTCGACCCACAAACGCAACCCTATGCAAAACGGTTCACTAGTGGCGAGTCTGGAAGATACATAACTGTCTTATCCGATCACACTGAACCTATGACTTCCCATCGCAACTGTTCTCGTTTTCTAAGTCAACATCAATCCCTATTAAAACTCTGTTTCACACACTAATTTTAAGTCACCACCCACATATGTCACTAGGTCTGTTCATGACGGCACGAGGCACTAAGTCATGAACTACTAAGGTTCTCAATCACAAAAGAAATAATAAATGAAATACGCAATCATGTACAACGATGTTAGGCGCATCTACATAATTTAAATCTAAGAATTATAACTCATACAACATATATACTTTAAAATATAATATTTTTCCAAATATTTATTTAAATCATTTCTCATTATAACAATCTAAAATAATCATTTCTAAACATAAATTCTTTTTTAAGATAATTCTTTAAAAATTTTTATCACTACGATAATTCAAATAAACCCTTTTTCAAATTAAATTTCTTTTTAGAATTATTCTTCAAAAATAAATTCTTTTGAAAATATTTCTCATCATATTAATTTAAACTAGTCTTTTAAAAAACATAATTTATTTATTCAAAATAATCATTTACAACAAATTTTTTTAATTGTATTTCTAATCCTTTAAATCATGTTTTAATTTTAACGTATCCATTCATCATAATTGGCTAAATCCTTCGATGATATCATTTTCTCAACTATAATATAACTATATTAAATATCATTCATGCAATAATCTCACACATGTTTTTAATAATGATACCACAATCTAATGCTATGCATTAATTATGATCAGAATGGATCTAAAAAATTGTAAGACGCGTCAATGAGGAAGAGGGGTGCTGCAGAGGCTAAGGGCCTGATGACGAGTGGCGGGCGTGCGGACACGGTAACAGATCTGAAGCGGTGAAGAGCGCGTGTCGTCAAAGATCTGGTTGATGACGGATTCTGAGGGCCGAGGGTGGATGACAGGCTGGCGATGGGTGGTGCTTGTCAAGCGGGCTAGAAGTCGTGAGGAAGAGGCCTTGGCGGCCTCGCGTCGGTGGTGGATCGGGGGTGAGCTCGGGAGCTCGGCGACGAGAGTCTTGGGTTCCGCGGGTTGGAGGATGGCAAATAGGAGCTCGAGATGGCGGGCGGAGTGGGCTGAGGTAGAAGGAGGAGCTCCGTGGTCGTGCGGAGGAATCTCAGCGGGGAGTTTAGGGTAAATTGGTGACAAGTGGGGAGCTGTAGTCGGCGTTGGAGAGACAAGGGGGACCGCGCGCATGGTCTGGCCGACAGGGGAGGTGCTGTTGCACGGGGATGAACGCGCGCTGGGGTCGAGGAAGGCGGCGCTGATAGCGGGTCGGAGGAACGCGGTGTAAGGCGGAGGTTGGAGAAGGGGCGATGGCATGGTGGGAGAGCTCGCGGCTAAAAGGAGGCGCGGTCTGGGACAGGGATTTGAGGTGATGAGAGAGGAGAATGGACGAGGAGCGGCAAAAGCTCGTGAGGGGTGGCGGCTGCCAGGAGGAGAGGCCGGCGAAGGGGGATGGGGAGGTGGATCGGTGACGGCCAGCGGCGACACAGGGAGCGGGGTTAGGGATGCGTTCGAGGAGAGAGATGGAGATCTGGCAAGCGGGTTGGGGAAGAGAGAAGAGAGAGGAAGAAAAACAAGATATAATATATATATTATATATAATATACTATATATATATATATATAATATTTATATATATAGAGAGGAGAGAGAGGAAACTGTATATGCACTGCCAGTTCACGATCTACGTGCGCTGCAGGGGTTTTATTGCAAAAAACCCGCAATTTCCTCCGTCAATTAATTCCTCTCTCCTGAAATAAATCGCTTTATCTCAAACGCGCCCCCCCAAATCCCTTGACCTTCTCTCTCTCCCCCCCAAATCTATTTCTTCTCCACTAAAATCCTCAATTCCCTGCAGCTCATCTCTCTCCTCGTCCTTAAAATCTTCATCGGAGCCGTCTAAAGCCGCGAGAGAGAACGCCGTCAGCCGCCGCCTTCGCCTGCTCTCGAGATCCGTCGCCTTCTCTCGAGATCCGCCGCCTTCGCCTGCTCTCAAGATCCGTCGCCTTCTCTCGAGATCCGTCGCCTTCGCCTGCAATAGAGCCGTCGTCAGCCGCCGCGAGACTGCTCTACAACAGCGCCGGGTCGCCGCCGCTCCACAATCACAGCAGCAAGCGTTCTTTCATCAAGTGAGTCGATCGATCTTTTTAAGTTTGCGGAAGCTTGTTAAGGCGGTAATATTAAAGAAATTTCTCCCCCCTAAAGAGGCTCAGTCTTTTTTATATTCAGATTGGAGATGAATTAGTTTTTTATTTAGTATCTTGTTATCTGGTTTGTCTAGTTCCCACAAATTGTTACATGCCTATAACTTCCATAAATTATTGTTCCCTACTAGTTTTGAAGAATTCACTCACTGGTTGTAGTAGTTTACAAAACCAGTGAGGCAGGTAGTTTACAAAACCAGTGATAGACCTAAAGTTGTTTATGCTGTCGTTAGATGTTTGATTTACGTGAGTAATTCGGCAATTTCTCCCATTTTTTCTTACGCGCTGTTAGTCAGATTTTCTAGATGTTTTTATTGGTACCTGGAGGCTGGAATAGACGATCAATTTGGCGAAGTATCCTACGGGCTTAAATCACGGTGTAATCTCTACATTGCTTCCAATCAACTTCTCAGAAGGAAATAGGAAAAGAAAGTAGAACAGATAGTCCTAGCGTGCTTCTATCACGACAATAAACTTGAATCTGGACTTTTTGATCGAGTTCCGTCCAATTCTGTTAAAATGCTGCACATAACCTCATCAATTTGCTGCAGACTCAGACGCCACTTAGGTAAGGCTCATTAGCTATCTACATTCAGCAGGTCAAACAAGATATGTTTACGATGCACAATCTAATTCACAGGGTAACATGCAGAGTCTGGTTGGATAACTAGGTTCATAATTATTTGATGGATTATGTAGTGGTTTTGGATTGAGTTAGTGGTTAGATAACTAGGTTCATAAATTCATTGGTTAGTGGTTAGTGATCAAAATTTACGTTATATGATCAAAATTTACGTTATATGATCAAAATTTACGTTATATGATCAAAATTTACTCTGATGAAGAGGAGTTTGAAGGTTCAAAGACAGGGCTTGTTCAGACAAAGCTGTCGAGCGTGAGGCCGCAAGTTTCAAGAGCCGTGTCAAGTGGAGAATTGCGGGAAAAGAGAAAGATTGAGATTGATATTATGGATTTGTTGAAGCTTGTTGTATTTGCTCTTTTATTCGGTATTTTTCTTGGATTTGTATTTGGTATTTTTATTGGATTTGTGCTAAGTAGAGTGTAAGAATGTATTATCCTTCTTTGTGGAAGTGTATGTTGATGAGAACTTCTGGTGTTCTGGATTTGTATCTTCAGAAAAATTAGATTAGTAATTTGTTTTATACTCGCAAAGTCTGGTTTTTGTATCTTCAGAAAAATTAGATTAGTATGCTTGATGCAGTTTAAAGTTGAAATTTTGGTTGATGTGGAAGTAAGATTGAATAGCTGGAATCTCAAGTATGCTTCAAGTCCCAGCATCACACATTCTCACCCTTAATGATATGGGGGTATGATATGTTCGGATTTTAGATGGAGAAGTTGTAATTGGTTGCTATTGGTTGGATAGTATATTCTAATAATCTGAAGGGACATTTTTGCTGACTTAATCACACATTCGCTGGACTTAATCACATGAATTGCTGGTTGCTGACTTAATCACACATTCGCTGGACATTCATAGGAGAATTGCTGGTTGCTGACTTAATCACACATTCGCTGGACATTCATGGGAGAATTGCTAGCTTAATCGAAATCTTCCAATCAGGTACAGGAAAGAAAAGTTTGTTTTCTGTAACATGCTTCTGCGTAATCTAACAACTCAAAGCCTTCACAGCAATTACAGATGCAAATCATATAAGCTCAAATCACAAGAAACAGATGCAACCAAAGTACTACCCTGCTGAAAAATAAGTACCAGGATTGAGCTGCAAATCATATAATCTCAAATCACAAGAAACAGATGCAACCAAAGTAGCTGAATAATCATTACAAGATAGCTGCATATAAGCTCAAATCACATTACAAGATAGCTGCATAAAAGAGAATTGAGCTATAGCTAGCTGAATATGAGCTACAGCAAAGCTACAAGCATCAAACAGAGTTACATCATGAGTTACAACATCAAACAGAGTTTCATCAAAGAAAGACTTAACCTCCAAAGTTACAACCAAAGTAGCTGAATATAAGCCCAAATCACATTACAAGATAGCTGCATAAAAGAGAATGCTCAACCTATGTTCCAACCAACCACCATTGATGTTATTCACTCGGATTTTACAAGATAGCTGCTTACAAGAGAAGAAATTTTAATCATTACTTAGAATTGAGCGCATTAAACTATATTCAGCCCTTCACATATGTGTAAACATATGCTGCAAATCATTACCTCAAAAATATTAAGCCCTTCATTACCGAGAAAATTTGAATCATCACCGAGAATTTAGCTGCAAATCACATTACAAAATAATCATTACTGAGAATTTAATCAAACAAAAAAAGTTTCATGAAAAAATATTAATTATACTTTGATTCTCCCATTCCACTTCCGATGATGCTTGATTCTCCCATTCCGAACTCTACAGTAGTTGAATTTTCTGACTCCATTCCGAACTCCTAAGGAAGAAAATAAATTCAAGAAAAACAAACTTAGTATTATAATTGTGGTTAGGAATACAAAGTTAGCATTTAGATTCTAGTTATAGTAGTTACTAAAGAAAATGCGCACCAATTATTTTGCTTTTAATTTGTTGGTCCAAAATAGTTCCAAAAAAACCCGTAGTGACAGTGAGTTTTGAGCTATGTCAAAGTCACCCAAACTTATATGCGGTTGTATGAAATTTAACATAAAGATGTGTACAATTAAAACTGACAAATGAAATCATAAAGTTCATAAATTGCAAATTAATATCCAGTTATTCCTATGGTGACTCCAAAAAAGGAACCAAACTTATAATACCATTATTTACCACCAGGACTCTACCATCAAAGCCCATATCACACGTCACAACTAGTGTAGATGAATTCAATGTGCTACTGCATTAACCATGACGATGAGGCAGCCTTCTTCAAGGAGGCGGTTGACCAATTTTCTGGCTTATAAATGTTCATGGAATAAAAAACTAAGCTCTGGACTCTATCTGAGATGTCTATATATTTGATAATTTATCTCTTTCCATGAGCTGGAGCGATTATTTGAGTAGTTGTTTGAGACCTTAACCTCAAGTAGTGAACTTAATCTTCCGAAACTCATTCTACGTGATTAGCTAACAATTGGATCTCAACTTTCTGGCTTTATCAAATAGCAGAAAGCTTCCGCAAACTTAAAGATCACAAGAGTAAACTATCTTTTTAAATGTAAATCTTCACGTATGACGACAAGATTACAGTAATTATAGGCACCTAAAATAAAAACTTCCGCAAACTTAAAAAGATCGATCGACTCACTTGATGAAAGAACGCTTGCTGCTGTGATTGTGGAACGGCGGCGACCCGGCGCTGTTGCAGAGCAGTCTCGCGGCGGCTGACGACGGCTCTATTGCAGGCGAAGTCGACGGATCTCGAGAGAAGGCGACGGATCTCGAGAGCAGGCGAAGGCGGCGGCTGACGGCGTTCTCTCTCGCGGCTTTAGACGGCTCCGATGAAGATTTTAAGGACGAGGAGAGAGATGAGCTGCAGGGAATTGGGGATTTTAGTGGAGAAGAAATAGATTTGGGGGAGAGAGAGAGAAGGTCAAGGGATTTGGGGGGGAGCATTTGAGATAAAGCGATTTATTTCAGGAGAGAGAGAGGTCACGGGGAATTAATTGACGAAGAAAATTGCGGGTTTTTTGCAATAAAATCCCTACAGCGCACGTAGACAGTGAACTGGCAGTGCATATACAGTTTCCTCTCTCTCTCTCTCTATATATATATATATATATATATATATATATATATATTATAAAGGAAATTAGGGTTTTAAAAAAATAATAATAATTACGAAATAAATTAAATAATTATGTGAAAATTATCTACACATCAAAATGTACTAGTTGTAGTATTACAATCGATAATACGCAACAGTAGAAATAATGCAAGAAATTACACAATTAAATAAGAATAATTAATAAAAAAATATAATTTCTTATATTTTAAATCAAATAATTATGGGATAATTATCCATATAGTAAAACGTATCAGTTGTGCTAATACAACCAATAATATGCAATAGTAGAAATAATACAATAAATTATACAAATAATACGTAATTAATAATACAACGTATTATATGAAATAATACGTAATAATAATAATAATAATATAACATATTATTTAAAATGATACGTAATAGTATCGATAACACAACGGATAAATTCCAAAAATTTTTACTACATTAAATAAATTTATAAATATTTAAATCATTTAAATAAATATAAAATTAGATTTTTATATCGTAGAAAATTCTAGAAAATCAAGAAAAATACAAATACTCTTTTAAAATTAATAATTAAATATTTTAAAATACCAGAAAATTATTTTAACTAGTATCAAAAATTCACGGTCATTACATCCACAAGCAACCTTCAAGAACTCTACAATTTGATCATCATGCATGTTCCCTCTCAACGGTTTATCGATAGCTTCGCTAATTTTACCAGCAACAGCGAGTTGATACGCTGACCCATCATGACTCACCTCAGTAGCCTTCTGTCTAGTTGCAAGCTCAAGTAAAACAACCCTAAATCCATAAACATCCCCTTTTGTGCTTGGCACCGGATTGGTTGCATACTCTGGTGCAATATACCCAAACTCCTCCAAATTCCCATTCAAGAATGGAGTTGTGTTCAAACCCTCATTGGAGGTCCAAGGCTTCATTAGCCTGGCCAGACTAAAATCAGTGACTCTGGGCTCATACTCTTCATCAAGAAGCACAGCTTGAGCTAACATTTTGATGCAAGAGAGGAACTTGAAACCCATGGAGAAGCCAAGACAACCCTCACGAACCCCCAACCCCAATCCTCAACCTCGTCGGCCAGTCCAAACCCTGACCCCCATCCCTAATCATCGACGAAAGAGCTCCATTCGCCATATGCTTGTAAATCAAAAGCTTCTCTTCTTCAACAACATAATAGCCAAGTAAAGGAACCAAATTCGGATGCCTAATATGCCCCATCCTCCCCATCTCAGCCCTAAACTGCTTCTCCAACAACAGACAACCATAAAGCCTCTTCACCGTCAACGCCGACCCATCACGAAGAACAGCATGATACGTTGTCCCAATCCTCGAACTCCCCGCGACCATAATATAATCCGGGTGAAAATCCTGTGAAGACCTCATCCGATCCGACCATCAGCAAGAACCGGCAGGAGGACGTTGACGACGACGATGAGGAAGAGGAGGGGGAGAGGGAGGGAATGAATTTGGGGGAGAGGGAGGGGATGAATTTGTTTTGATAATTGTGGGTTTAACTTGTAATAATTTTGGGAGGTAAGGGGTTTAAAACAAAATTTCTCACTGGAGTTTTGAGAAAATGGTTTTATTGACAAAAAGGACGAGAATTAATGCCTTGTTGTCGCCGAAGTTTTTAAAAATATCAAACTGGCAAAAGCGTTTGTATAAATATACCAATTTGGTATTTTAGCCCTTTTTCTCTCTTTTTCTTTTGCTTTTGCTCTTGCTCTTCTAAGATGGTCTCTATGACCAACTTATAGCTGGCCTCTTCTATGAAAACCCAACCGGCATCCCCCTCATAAATCTTCAACAATTTGAGAACTGTTCTGCGCACTACATCCTTAGAGAAGCCTAAGACCACCAATGCATCCATGGCTGCATCTATTCTCCTCAATCCAACCTTTACTCTTCCCCTCGATGACATTCTAATTTTATTGACTATTTTGCTTCTCCTTAACTATGAAATATAAATTAATTAGCAAATTTTTTGAACCTAGCTAATTGTTTATTAAGATTTATAATGGTTTCTGTAACGTGGATGGATGGCTTTATATATATACATTAATTTATATATGTGTACTATATTTATCATACTCTAATTTTGCTGTAATTAATTTACACCATATAAGAATGTTACAGCACCATAAAATTTTTTAGGAGGGGTAATTAATATTTAAAAGTTGGAAACAAAATGATTTTCACTTCAGCAAAAAGAATCAGAGCTTTAAATTTCTTTTATTGGTCGTTATTGTTTGTTTTAAAGGTGAAGAAAAACTCCTAGAAAACATGCATGTAACTCAACATAGATAACCTATATAGACAGCAACATATATAGATAACCTATATAGACGGTGAAATAAAAATAATCAATAGTAACCATAATTATAATTAAAATAATTCATTTCCCCTAATAATTATTCATTAATACTTCGACGTATATATATGTAATTAATTGTAGGGACTTCTTTACTTGTACGATGAACCTAGTCAGATTGCAGCTCTAGCTATTTACGAGAAATGCCAATCCATGACAATTAACCCTGCTTATTCATGTAATAATTTGGTGTTGATAATTATCAAAATTTTAATAAAAATTTGATAATATTTCTTAACTGTTGTGAAACTAATGAAGTAGAGAAGAAAAAAAAGACGAGAAGTAGAGAAAAAATTTATTTCATTCGTTCTTCATTGCTATATCAAAGTGAGGTAGGAATACCTCTATTTATATACAAACTGTTGTGCGCGACGCGGAAGCGGTCGAATCACACAATCCAAACAAGAGAGATCACAACCAAATAAACAAGCACAATCATCAATTAACACAAGAGATTTACGTGGTTCGGCAAGTTGCCTACGTCCACGGGGCAAGAAGGGGATGGGGTTTTCACTAATAGAGAAAGAGTACAAACTGAGATTACAAATCACTCGAAGAAACAAACTAATCTCACCAACAAGCTCTTAATCTCTCCAAACAAAACCCTAAACAAATAGCTCAGAAAATACCTATTTTCTCTGCTCCAAATATCCCCAATTTTTCTTCTCCTCTTCCAATTGTTCAATATATATAGAAATCCTAAAATCATAAACATACTAGGAATTCTAAACCAAAAGCCAAATCAAATTAGGAATCCTAATAACCTATTACCAAAATAGATTAGGAATCCTAATAATCTCATGTTACCAAAATAGACTAGGAATCCTAATAACCTCATGTTACCAAAATAGATTAGGAATTCCCTATCCAACAATTCTCCACATCGACGAAGTTTTCCCAAAACTGACCCGACACCGACCAAACCAAATGCCTCACTTGTTGCGTCCAGTACGAAGTGAAACGATCCACAACAACGGACTCAATCCACAACAAGTCGAGACCCAAACGGGAGTGCGAACACTCACCCAAACGTCGGTATCTACTCACCAAATCGGCTGCATCATAAATGACTGCCTACGTATCCTCTTGCCCAAGGAATCAAGCCTTCACGTAGTTCACCCAAATGGCCTCCAAAGGCCTCAATCCACTAGAAGAGTTCGCAACCCTTCTCCAACATCACGATCAAGTCTACGGCTGATAGGAGTTTCCACCCAATGTGGAGTAGCATCACTCTCCACCCGCTGTGATGTTCTAAAGATCTGATCACCACTCTCCACCTGCTGAGAGTCAAACGTGACATGCCTGCTCAGAACAAAGTCAGAAGCCAATACCTGATAATCAAACACGCCTCTGAATCCCAAATGTGCTATCGGATCAAATTTCACATCCACGATGTGACCAAGTGCTGGGTAGCCAAACATCCGACGCAACCCAAAATCTGAAGCAGCTCCACCAGATCCCATATCTATACATGCAGCAGTCGGCAACCTATACATGAGACGGCCCAAACATGTCGTAGCCCGCACACCAATGCCAATGCTCGACATCAAACGCCGATCCTCCTCCAAAAAGGAACAGCTGCCCAAATCTGCCATCTCGCCTTGTCGCCTCAAAGTTTCCACACCAATGAAGTGTCTCCTATTGCCGTGAGCTCGGCACAAATGTAAGAAAGAACCCCTACCATAATCAGAACGTCGGGTTACCTTTCTACCAACACACTTCCTCCATCTATTGCGGGCTTCTAGGACTTCATACCAACGGGATTTGGTTGCAACCCACCAATGCCTAGAGAAATCCCCAACTGCGGAAACCACATACCTATTACCTCCCAATAATGCTTCCTTGGAAGGCTCCCGAATGCCTGAATGAACACCCCTCAGAAAACCCCTCGAATGATGGATAGAAGTGCCAAACTCCACCTCGGTCTTCTTGCTCATACCAATGGGTTCATAGGACTTCAAACTGCAGGTCAAAGCACTCCTCAAAAATCTATGCACGACATTTCCAATCAAATAACCCAGCATCAAACAATGCCACAGTCTAGCCGAATCTGATAAAGTCGTCATCTCCCTATCAATCGTCGTGCATCCGAGCAAATAATACAAATTGCTCCTTCTGACGCCCTTCATAACAATCATGGACCCCAATGTGACCTTCAAACGTGCATCCTCCAAGGTCACTTTATAGTCAGATGCCACAAAAGCTCCTAGTGAAATGATGTTCTTCGACAACTGCGGAACGAACCTCACTCCTTCCAACTCCTGAATCACTCTGTCATACATCCGAATACGAACGGTACCAATACCACCAATAGCGCATGCATGTCCATTACCCATGAGCACAACATCCTCTCTTTCCAACTTCTGAAAGCTGGAGAACCAATCCCTCCTAGGGCAAACGTGGTATGAAGCACCTGAATCCAACATCCACTCTGTAGAGTTGGCAACACAAACTGACGGCAGTGCAGACAATGAATAGCCCGAAGAATTCGAATC